CCCAAAGCTTTAAACCAGGAAAATGGGAAGAAATTCTTTTTTTTATTGAAGGATGCAATTGAAATAATGATCCTTTGGGATTTTGCCTGAAGGTTTCTAGGCCTTGAAAGGTAAGGGAGAGCTGTGTGGAAAATCTGCTCGAGTCTCAACACAGTGATTTAGTGGAAGGGAAAAGGAAAAAGAAGGAATCTCCTCGTGTTGCCACTTGCTCTGGCAGTTTCCCAGGGACAGGTGTCAGCACCCTGATCCCAAAACGCAGCAGCCAGCTCAGGGCTGGAGGGTTTGGAGCAGAAGGGTCTGTTCCCAGCCTGTGTAGGTGTTAGGGAGGGCTTTCTCCCTGCAGGTGCTCTCCTCTGGGGTGCTGGTTCCCCGTCCCCCTCCCAGCCTGCCTTGTCACCCTGGGCAGGGACACCCCAGCCCTGCTCACCCCCGGGCTCACGGTCGCAAACTGGCACAAAACCTGCCTGGATGCCACCTCTGCCACCTCCTTCAGCAGCTGGAGCCTGGCCAGGCTGGGGGGCTGCAGAGGAGCTGCTTTGGGGTCAGCTTCCCCTGAGCTGGAGCAGAGGGAGAGGAGCAGAGTCACAGAGGGGTTTATCCTCCTCCTGGATCCCTCAGTGCCAGGTGTCAGCTGCCAGCTGAGCCTTGGAATGAGGTGGATGGCATAAAAATGTCCCGGGATGAGGGCAAACCAGAGGAAAATGTATCGTTTTTTATAAACGTTTTCCCAACCAAGCATTTATCCCAAAGTTTCTGATTTGGATAAGCAAGACCAAAAAAAAAAAAAATTGATGATTATTGTGAAATGAACAGGGGTGACCTAAAGGGAGGGGTTGGGGGAGGAGAGGAAATCCTCCAGAAATCCTTGCAGGGGGGTCACCCACACATCCCTCCTGAGCTGATGCCTGCCCTGACCTTCCCTCCTCTCCCGAGGATCCATTGGTTTGGGTGTGGGAGACCTGGTGAACGGTCCAGGATGGCAGATGCTTGGCAGTGCCAGGGTTCCAGGTACCGGCACCCCCTGCCACAGAGAGGTGTGCGGGATAAAACTGCCCCATCAAAATCTTGTCCTATCAAATTCCCGCCTCAGAGGCTTTTCCAAATAATGGTTTGATTCCTTTCCGACGATAAATCTGGAATTCCCTCTCCCGTTCCTGCGCTCTGGAGGGCCTTGGGCGGACAAGGGTGAAGCCCCGTGGTGCCAGGGAGGGCTCCTGGCAGGCTTTGTGCAGTTAAACCCCCCCCCCCCCCCCGAACCCCCTCCCCAAGCCGAACCCAGCGGGTGCCACTGCGTGCCAGGGACATGCTCGGCTCTCACCTCCAGAACGCCGGCGCGACATCGGCGGCGGCAGAAGCGGATCTTTCTCCCTCCCTCCGTCTCCGTTTGTCCCCTGAGAAGTGGGAGAGACACTGCGGACCGTGGTCCTCCTCCTCGCCCACGCTGTGATCCCCCCCGCCTCCTCCTCCGCCCCGACCCGGCGGTCGCCGGATGTACCGGACGCGCACCCTGAGCTCTTTGCACGGCCTTTGCTTTGGAAATTAGGCGGGATAACGACGTCTCATCGCTCTTGTTTTGTATTTTTTGGGGTTTTTTTTTTTTTTTTTTTTTTTTGGTCCTTCACAAAAAAAAAGAAAAGAAACTCAGCCCAGCTCGCCGGGGTCTGCCCCGCTGGGAGCGGCGCGGCAGGACGGCCCAGCAGAGCAGTTTTCTCCGGAGGCGGCGGTGAGACATCCTCCCAACCCCGGCCACTCGACGCAGAGCAAACCCCGAGCGGGGATGGATAAAAAAAAAAAAAAAAAAAAAAAAAAAAAAAAAACACCACAAAATCCACGGCACGAACGCTCTGGGTTACGTAGCTGCAGGTTTAGAGGTGCCTGGCGGGGAAGGCACCGGGCCGGGCCGGGCCGGGCCGGGCCGTGCCGGACGGATCCGCAGCAGCGCGGCAGAGGGAACGACCCCCATCCCCTGGGCTGGTGCCACGGGCAAGTACGGCTCGTGGGAAGGCGGGGCTGCCCCGGCTCACACATGGCTTCACGTTGCGGTGAAAGGGGTTTAGGGGCTGTTTGTCGGGGTCTTCTATTTGTTGGGGGCTTAGGGTTATTTTATTATTATATTCTATTTGATTTTTTTTTTTGTCCATTATCCTTTATCTCCCTCCCCCCTCCACCCCCCCCCGACTGTAGTATCCGGTAAACTCCTCCTAATTTTCAAAAGACAACGAGAAGAATGACAATCTAAGAAACCAACACCCTCCTTTGTGCTTCTATAAATATGTTTCTGATCTAATTTTATTTCTTGTGCTCATCTGTACTGTTGACAGTTACAATTGTGTATATTTTTTTTTTAATTTGGAATTTTTGCGTTGTATAGGGTTTAGTTTTAAAATATATATATATATTTTCCATTTTTTAAAAAGGGGTGTTGCAAAAAAAAAAATTGCACGATTTAAATGACAATAGTTAAAATGCTGCAGTTTTTAGAGATGTGGAAGCAAAATGGAGCTTATTTATTCTCAAAGGCTATAAAGGTGTAAAATGCATGAAGAAAAAAAAAACATTTACAAAAAAAAAAAAAGGACAAAAAAAGTGTAACCTGAACAAAGTGTAGCGTTAAAAGATTTTAAAGGATGACAACAACAAGAAAAAAAAAAAGAAAAAAAAAAAAACCACAACAAAAAACAGCTAATATATTGTGTTTGGGCTAGTTTGCTTTTGTTTTTAATTGTTCCTTTTTTTGGAGAATGAAATACAATTGTGTATATTTTCATATAAGAAGTATGCACTGAGATGTTTCCAAACTGATATATTCCTTTCTAAACGTGTGGTTACTTACCAAAGTCTGTTTCTGATCTTTACCTTCTCAAACTCTGCGGATCCTCCAGCCCGGGCCTGACGCCACAGGTAAGCCGGGGGTGGGGGGCACCTGTGCCGCCCCCTCCTCTCCCCGCACCAGGGGGCGGCTGATTTGGGGTGCTGGTGGATGTGAGCGCGGTGCTGGTGCCGAGGGGGATGCCGTGACCCCCGTCCCGGGAAGGCTGGTCTTTCCCAGGGTGTGGCTGGATGGTTTTGGGGGGGTCTGTGCCGCCAGCGGGGGGGACGGGGCTGGCCAGGACCGCGATGTCCCGCGTGGGATGATGCCAGGGGGGAGCAGCATTGCAGGGGGCAGATGCAGAGGAAGGGGTGAGCCCACGTGCCAGGAGCACGGAGCAGGCGAGGGCTCTGCCACCAGCGCGTGCCGGAGTGGCCGGGGTTTGGTGCAGAGAGGAGGAGGAGGATGGAAAGAGGTCATGGGGTCTGGCTCAGGTGATGCTTCTACTGGCAGACATAGGAGCAAGGACAGGGTGGGTGGTTGCATGCCCGCCCCAGGAGGAGATTTAGGGATGGAGCAGGCCCTAAATGACGTCTCGAGCCTAAAATCCCAGGAAGGGCTGCTGGTGTGTGGTGAGGATGGTGATGGATCGACAGGGATGGTCTCACCTGCTCTGGGGGGCTGCTGGGGGGTGACCAACTGGCGCCAGGGTGGGGGGTGGAGGGCACAGGGTGACCCCCTGGTGATTGAGGTGGTTTTGGGAGATGGCAAAGAGCTCAGCTGTGTTGGATGTTTGGATGAGGGCGTTGGTGCTGGGGGGGGGGTCCGGCAGTGGGTTGTGGTTGTGCGAGGGGCACCACCAGGGGTGGTGGCGAGGAGACCCTTGGGGAAGGGTTTTGCTGCTGCTGTGTGTTTGGGGCTGCTGCCAGTGTTGGGGTTGGAGGGTGATGGAAGTGTTAAATCCAGAGCTGGTGGCATCGGAGCCGTGCGTGGGCCTGGGGGAAAGCGGGGCAAGGAGAAAGAGTTTCCTTTTCTTCCCCCCTTTTTTCACTTCCCTTTCCCTTCCCAAAATAATCTTGGCAAACCAGGGAAAAAAGCAGATTTAGGAAAAAAACCCACCTTTTCCTTGAAGATTTCACCTCCTGCACTTCTTTCTTCCCTTCTGTTGCTCATTTGGGAGATTCCCCGTAACGCCTTGGGTGGGAATTGGGAAGTTTGTCACCAGCTCTGGGGGAAAGGCTGCAAACTGCTTCTGCCAGCCCAGAGCTTGGTCAGGGGTGAGGGGCCCTCAATATTCCAGGGGTCCCTCTGCAGGGGTCCCTCTGTGCTGCTGGGGTGAGCATCCACTGGATGAGGGAGGATATTCCCAGCCATGCCTTGGTCGTGCCGTCCCTGGTGCCACATCCTGCCTTTCCTTCCCATCGCTCTAGCTGAGGGCACAATTTGGGAACGTTTGGGGGATTTTCACCACCCAAAGTGGCAAAAATTCATCCCTGTCCACCTCTCCCAGGGCTGTGGGCGAGTCCATAACTGTGGGCTTCAGCTGAACGTTTGCTCTTGCTTCCCTTTCCCATATTCATCCTTTTTCTCCGCCTTCCCCTCTCACTTCCCTTTTCTTTATTTTTTTTTTCTTTCCTTTCTCTTTTTTCTCCTTTTCTATCTTGTTTTGCTTTGTTTTGTGGTTTGTTTTTTTTTTTCTCTTCCACAAAAAAATCCCAACCAGATCCATAAACCAAGTATTATGTTTTCACTACCTCCATCCATCACCCTTCCCTGTCCAATGCCAGAAGCCATGCTCGGGATCTAAGAGGGCCTTTCCCCCTTTATTTTCCCCTTTCCTCCAGAGATTTTTTTTTCTCCTCTGTGTCCTTCTGCCCCTCCTCTCTCTGTTCTCTCACCTGTAGTGTTTTACCTGGCTACTGTAACTGTAAATAGCGAGTTTCAATCTGTTAGCGATGGTAACAGTACAGAAAACTGGTTTTGGGTTTGGGGGGTTTTTTTGGTGTTTGTTTTTTTTTGGTTTTTTTTTTCTGTTGTATTGATATGAAATGAGATTATATTTTTGTCAGAGTATATTGTAATAATACTGACTTTGGACATGGCCGAGTTGTACAGCGATTTCTTGTTCAACCCTCTTGGCTCTTCCCTTGCACCCCCCTCCCCGTCCCTCCCTGCTCCCCAAATTTCCATGTCCCAGACCCGGCCGGGCTCCCAGCTGGGAGCAGCCACTTGGCGATGGCTTTACACCAGGGATGCTTTTCCACAGGGTTCCCAACAC